AMRWKTKWSAMTAGTGGTATGTCAATGACGTAATATCCAAGATGGCGTTTTTCTAACCACGAAAGTGGTAAAAATGGGTAACTTCGAAGCGCTCTTGTCGCTAATACAAAGCAAACTGGACAAAATGCTAGTTATTTTCGAACTCCTGAGGAAAAATCTTCCAAATTGAGATAAAATTTTTCTAGACTGTACTTTTCCTTTGAAGAGTTTTTGGACGTAAAAGTAGGAGTATCCTATGATGTTATATTTTATCAACCCACAAATTCTTATGAACACTGCCGTCAAATGACAATTTGCCTATCCTGTCGCTGCTAAATTTATGTTCCGTAGGACTTTTTGATTCAAAATTGATCCCCTAGAGTGGTTTTTGTGGTAGTTCATTTCGGAAAAAAAATTATCAGCACATCAAATGCTGCGAAAAGCAATCGAACCTTCACTTCACAGCCTTGCGCAGGATGTCATTCCACTTTAATTTTTTAGAGCTATTTTGTTTCAGAATAATTTGGATATATCAACAAAGTTGAAATGGTAAATTAGCCACCGTAATGGTTAAAAAAGCTTTTGTAACCTTTACGGTGGCCAAGTTACCATTTCAACTTTGTTGATATATCCAAATTATTTCGTTACTCCCACCGACGCAGCCCCAAACAGTTTCTTTCGAAACTATCAGCCTTTATTATTTTGTTTCAGGATTAGAACATTTCTCTAAACTGGGCAAAGCGTTGTATAGCGTCGCTGGTTTAAAAGCGTGGCTGAGGAGACATGGCGAACCGTTTTATAATTCATTTTTAGATGTTCATACGCACAATCGACTTAGTCGAGATACAAATCAATTAACAATTACTGCTTTTGTACTTACCACAAAATATAAACGTGCTCCTCAAGCAAAACAGGGCGACTACAAGACTTTGAACCAACTCGGTAGTTATCATATCTTGGTGGCTCTGCAATGAGCTAAAGGCCAAGATTTTCGGTTCGTAATATCCTCCTTCAGACCCTACAGCTCTAGCAGATCAGCTTAAAGTCCAAATCGCCTTGCGATCCTGAGTTAAAGTGGAAGAAATAAACATCATAAATCAGCGAAACTGCTGAAACGTGGTTGCTTAAGCAAAATATCCGTTTATGGCTGGGTTTAAGCTCAAAAAGCCGGTTTGGGTTTAAGCTCAAAAAGCGGTTACCGGATGAGCTCAAAGCTCATCCGGTAACCGCTTCCAGAAGCCGTGTCGAATTGCGTTTGCGTGATGTCCTCCAAAGTAGCTGTGAAATTTTCCTCACGTTTCGAGGTAGTTGCTTGCTCGCCGTACAAATTCGAACTAATGTAACTGCCAAGATCCTAAGGTTGCGCGTACTTAGAAACTCAACAATTACAGGGGTAGCAATGCGCGAGGCGATAGACAATTCGAACTCAACTCGTAGAATGACTAACACACGTTTAATCACAGTTCAAGATAGACGAATTACACTGGTTGCGACGATGATGACAGATCGTGAAAGTCACGGTAGCAAAGTTCGTGGTCGCGGAGAATAAAACGAAGTAGAGTAGAAATATAGGGTAGTTTAGTGTCGAATAGAGTCGTGTAGGTTCGAACTGAAACGATAATTACATACAAAA